CGGGATGAGCTGCTACTTCTATTTACTGATAATTTGAGTGGTATTCCCTTTTTAACATGAATTCGACGTAGAACGGTATTTTCCGCGCCAAGAACTATGTTCACAGCAGCTGAGTCATGTTAAACTAATGGAGCTGTCGCCATAAGATTAAACGAAAAGGCAGTGATGGTGTTTGAATATCAGATCTTACACAGCATTGAGTTTCATGATTTTATTTCTCTGTTTTCTACTTAGTTTTAGTTTCAATTGAGAAGATACATCAAACATTCAAGACAGTGTTTGACCACATTTCCAAACACCTCGAAGTTCGTCAAAAATACACATGTGCGCGGCATATTTTGACCTCTCGGTGTTTGCAAATGTAGCAAGAGACGGTCTCTAGTTTTTCATTCATTACTCGTCTAACTCAATAATAACTCATCACTGTTAGGACGAAGAAAACCATAGTCTGACAGTGTTTGGATATCTGATCTTACATTTTTAACATTTTATTGATCATTTTCCTCTTTATTTTCGGTTTCCATAAAGAGGATATATCAAATACTCGAGGCAGTGTTTTCAGTGTTTGACTTATTACGTGACAGAACCGCACAGAATACCGTGTTGTAACGTGACAGAATCGCCAAATTAGCGCAACCTAGTCCGATTTAAAAAACCACTTACTAAACCGTTATATATCACTGTCATTAAATTAAGATTCTTCCTTTATCTTTTTGATCTCTAGAGCTATCCGCTTAATATCTTCTAATCCTTCTTCTAGTTGAGTTGCTGTTGTTTTCTCTTCCTGTTCCTCTGTTTGTTCGTGTTCGTCACCATTCTTTACCGCACTGTCCTCGTTCCCAGACAGTTGTTTTATTACAAGTGTCACGTAGTGGTTCAATTTATCGTAGTGTTCCGGTGTTAACCTATCCTTGAGAAAGCTTATTATTTGTGGCACACACCGGCCCGGTGCATGTATCATGCAGTTGGTGTAATGCTGGAATAAGACCGCTGACGCCAGGTGAAGAGCCATGGCAGGCTCATTTTCTTGTCGAAGCTGTTCTTGGAGTGCATAGCGGCGTTCTACGATCAGTTGCCTGGGAAATAACACAGTTTAAGGTGTTACGTATAAGCTTACCTTGAACTGAACACTTAAGTAAGCGCAACAACTGACGCGAGAATTGAACAAAAGGGGCCATCCGTTTTGTTGCAGGCAAAGGCCGCGTGTTCCACTGCTCGCTGATGTAGCATAACAGTTTAGACTTAACCCAACGATAGCAGATACTTTGAAGAGGGTTCCTATTACGAGTCCAACCAAACAATTTGCCTCAACTCCTATTCAAGTCACTATCTTACCAGGTATTACCAAACTGACGAGATGAAAAGCATGCCGTTTCATGAACAATAAATATCGGTTATTGACCAAGTGAGAGGTTAAGAGGGCTGGATATTGGCCAAGTTCTTTTTTTGCGGGTTCATGGACCGAGAGGGAATATCCAGCAATCTTGATTGAACAAGCTTGGACAAAAAAGGACTTATTAAATGCCTGTCGTGGTACATGTAATTTTTCTTGCGGGACACAGCGGGTAGTCCCGAGCGCACAAGCTAGCGCCAACCCGCTCGGGTAGCCAATTACAACACAGGATTCGGTTCATCTTGCCAGCTCACGGAGCTAGCCATATTATAATTATACGTAATGGACCACTTGTATTTTCCATGACNTTCTAGTTAGTAGTGTAAACTTACTTGAACAGGTAAGTTGCGACTTCTTCAACAAGTTCGTCTGAACAACTCGGAAATCGCTTTTGTAGTTCTTCTGATATCTACATAAAGAGATCAAACGCATAAATGACAGATAAATAAATAAAGAAACAGTTCAATTTTACTGTAAGCAGTCAAACTGAGGCCCAGAATAAGGTTCTACTCACAGCTTCGGTTTGCAATTTCCTTTTCAAGCTCAATTATCTACAATAAGGTTTCAAAAAGGTACGAAGAAAACTTCCACTATCCCCCATCCCTGCACCACTATTTTCCTACAAGCCATTATTCCCCCCACCTCCAGGCCCATGAACGAAAAAGGGCCAGCCTCTAAGGTCAATTGCGTTGACGACAGCAAAGAAACAGCAAAACTTGCCTCCTCAACTGTCATAAATGGTAAATCAGTGGAATTTTGTTTAGGTCTTATGTCTTCTTCTAAATCTTCATCTCTTGCTCGGTCCCTCTTCTTGTCACGCACCTGATATTTAAAAAGAAATGCATGTACTATTGTAAATTAAGAAAGGAGATTTAACTTTAATGAGGGTTGGTTGGCACGGTGGCTTAAAGAATAAGGTGCCACTTTACAACATACAAAGACGTTTCAAGACATTGTGATAAAATGGATACAACAGTACAAACTTTCCAGGATAAATTTCGATTCAAGAATTTTATTGAAAACAGGAAAAAAAAAAAATATGATTCCTATTAAAGGTTGTGACGACCATAGTAAAACAGCATACAAAATACTTAGTACGTAACCTATAGTATGAACCAAACGGCTGAATGAGTGGTGCACAGGTCTTTTAATGCCAAGAACCTGAATTCCACTAGCCCAACAGCCCCAAGCTTAACTCATGAACACATTATGAAAACAGCCAACACACTGACATTCTTTAGCAGAGATTCCAACCTATGTATGATTTCTAACATACCTTTTGGGTCTTGCTTTCTCTTCCTCCTCGTCCTCCACCCCCACCACCCCCGCTACCACCACCACCACCACCTCC